GTGGTCATGTGTGCTTAGTTTCATAGTTGGCTTGTGCTCTAAAGGAGCAAAACCCACAATGTTCCAAATTGTTGTTAAATTTTTTAGGTAATGGTCATGTGCCATGTGTTTCCAGCAGTTTTGAAACCAGGGATGACTTAATATTCGTTTTCCAAGAATGCCTATGACTTGTTGAAGACACTCTCTTAAGTCTTGATGCACTGAAGGTAGTCAAATCACTTTTTCAGGATTCAGTATATCCACTGAATTTTTACCTTTGCTCAAAAAGTGTCTATCAAAGCATTTTGCATTGCTTTCTAGTGTCAAAAGAAGGACAGAACTAAGAAGAAAATACTGAATATGTCTTTTTAAAACCTTGTTTCTCTAAACACCTGTAATTTCTACCACTCACTGTATCTGTCATACTAGAAACAGCCTGTGTACTGCTGGCATCCTGGCAAAGAATTGTGTTGGGCTCAAGAGCCACCCTTTGTTGCATGAAACAATTTTGTGAGATTAAGAGCAGTCACTGTATGATAGAAGGAAGGGTGAAATAGGCAAGACTTATTGAAATAATTCCCCCAATTTGGCTCCTTTCATGTGAAAAGCAACTATGTCTTTTGACTTCTCCTTTTTTCCTCCCTGCACCAGAGCTGTGGGCCACTGATGGCCATACTTACATCCATTCCTGTTCAGATAATCATTTCAGGGATATGAGCCCCACCTTGCACAGTAGGACTTCCTTACATGTTTAAAATGCTTTTGGTATAGGGTTATTTTTTCCTGCATCTGAGGCAAGAGCATGAGCAGAACTGAGAAATACTCCTTCCTGAGGAGCTGTGAATTCTGTTCAGATCCCAGCTGACCAACAGCTGATATTTTAACACCTTCAATACCAATGCTTTGGAATGACCCCGAAAACTAAGTTTGTGTGGAGCTTTTTTGCCAATTTATTTTTCAGTATGCCTTGCGTCCAACTGTTTCTTTCCAAAGATGGACACCCTTTTTACAATTAACAAAAGCCCTACCTGTATGCCTTCCAATTATGAGCAGAATGCATTTAGGTAGGTGTGTTCTCCCCTATGTGATTAAACAAGGAGGAAAGAAAACTTGTGGCTTCAAGCACCAGTTCTCCCCAGGGTGGGAGGTTAACATTTGACAAGATAACTGCCCTTTTGAAGTGTCTAAGCAAAAGCAGATGTAGATTTCATTGAGGCTTGATCTTTTGAAATTCACTTTGCCTACTCAGCATACTTCTCACAGGATTTTTCCCACAGCTCACAAAGGATCCATCTGGAGAAAACGTTTACCAATCCTTCTGTGCTCCTGCATGCCTAGACCTGTGTAAGAGCTGAGGTAGCCCTTATAAGCTGCCATGCTCAAAACCATTTTGAAGTCCTCCTGTGGTTTGCTACATAGGAAATATGAAAAATAGAAATTCTGCTGGGGCATTCTTCATCAATTTTTAGGGCAAATTCTTTGCAGTATATATTATTATTATTAGGTAATTAAGTACTGCATCTCATTCATATATGCCTAAATCACTGGACTTAAGATTGTAGGGATTACTTTTGCATTGCCATTTTCTCATTTCTAATTATTTAACCATGCCAGACTGGTACTCTCCGGGGCTGTACAGACACAAGTGCATCAACCTGTGTTCCCATTTTTGAAAGCTGTAAGTATGACCCTTAAAGACAATGCAGCTGTAGCCAAGCAATCTCTTGCAGTTTTCAGAGCTTGATTTGCATTTCAGAGATCTGCTTGTCTCTGTACAGATGTCTGTATGTGGTTTGCTGCAGATTTTGCAGGTTTGCTCAAGCATTTTCTTACAGTTCATTCATCCCTAGCTTTAGGAATAACTGCAGTTCCCTGCTGAGGGGTCCTTCAGTAGTGAAACTGCTATGATCATACTGTGGAAGAGCAGGGCTGGCATGAAGGGAACCTTGGGGAGTATGAGACTTCTCTTTACTTTGGACCTTAACCTTCTGCTGGCGTGAACTGACATTTGGATGGCTGCATCTGCACAGACAATCCTGCACCATCAGAATTTTTATTTGTGTGCAGGGCTTGGGAGAGAATGGTACTGCATGACTAAAATGTGTGTAGGTTTTCTAGCCTGGGTACTTCAGACTTTGGTCCTGAAAAGCAGATTATTATCTACTGAGTTTGAATTGTATTTGTGTTTTAGTGTTATGTTAAAATCGAGCCTTAGCAAGTAGATACCAGTTGCCCTTGCTTGGACAGTAATATTGATCCCAAGAAGATGAAGAAGCTTTTGTCTTCTTGTTACAAAAGATTATAATATTGACATAACAGAAACTGGAAAATTGAACTTAATATAGGGGAGGGAATTTTCCTTCCATTTGAAGAGAGCACTGCAAAAAGATGCTTTACAGTTACTAGGCTGTAAAAGCAGGTGGTAAAATACTGTAAGCTTTTATACTGTATTGACCTTTTATAGCAGCTTTCCAGAACCACTTTCTTATGCCTGGGAATCCTGCTACCATTTTCCTTGAAGACTCAAGGAACTTGACGTGTATGGAGCGTTTCCAGATTTTATGATAACTTGTTGTTTGTGTTGCTATAGTTACTAGAGCCTACAAGTAGAGTCATGGCTAGGTATTATTGAATACCTAGTAAAAAAGAAGCGAGGTGATGGGGATGATGTACCTCAGCAAGTTTCAGAGACCACCTTCTCTTCTTTCCTTTCAGTGGTGCTCTCTGTTTAATCTTTTCTTGTAAAGAGAATCATGAAATCATAAGTCCATCACACTGTGCTATAAGATGCTGGGCTTTGCTCTGTGAGGAGGTCTCAGGGACCCAGGACAACATTCCTGTTTTCCCTTTGAAAGAAAAATGAACTGCAGCTGCAGCAGCTAGGCTGGCTGCTGTGGCCAGGGAGGCTGGGAAGCTGTCAGAGGAGATGGAGATGGAGCAACAGTTTTCCAGTAAATTGGGTTCGTTAGACAAAATAACACCTGTGTCCACATGGAGAAGTTAGCCTTCCAAGAAATGTCCTAAAAGACATTACCAAGACTGCAACATAGAAATGGGTGCTTGGAAAGAAGGTAGATTTGGAACCTATTTAAGAGGGAAATTTTCCTAAGAACAAAGGTTAAAGTGAATGTTTTCTGGGTTAGAGCATTTTCTGGTCACTTTACTGCCCTGATTACTGGAATGCTGTGAGGGTTATTTTATTGCTTCAGGACAACAAGTGCAAGCAGGTGATAGGACAGGGAAGAGTATTCTTGTTATTTCTGTAATTGAAATAAAGACAGGCTGTGGCAATTACTGCTGCCTCCTACCCAGTTTGCAGCAGAGAGGAGAATCCCTTCCCTGCTCAGAGATAAAGTTTAGCAGAATATTTCTGGTCTTTTGGTAAGGTAGAATTTGAGGGATGCTTCAAAAATGTCTTTATTTAAGTGACTAATGTGAATCTGAAGGGTATAGACAAGAAAAAGAAGGGGGAGGAGTGAGTTCCTTGTTACATTTTCAATATTCAAGTTGTTACTGAGGAAATAAAAATGCTCCCATTCTTCTCCCTTGCTTGAAGAACTCTATTTCTGCCTTTTATTTCTATGAAGTGCTGTAAAAAAATCATAATTAGCGCACTAAACTAATTCTTCTACACTGCATTAAACTTAAAATAATGTTGAATCTATATTTCCATTAGCTAACAATGAAAAAACTATTAAGACTAACGCTTAGCACACAATCAATTCATTTCCTGCAAATGTTTCTACAGAAGCATGGTGCTACAGAGCCATAAATAAATGGAAGCAATAGCCTGAAATGTGTTGTAGTCTCTGTATTACCCAGAATTTGAATTCAAGAAAAATATGTTCTTTCTTCTAACCATTAGATTAGAGCTACAAATGGGCCAGGTTCAAAAAGGTACTGAGCTCTTATCTTCTAACCATTAGATTAGAGCTACAAGTGGGGCAGGTTCAAAAAGGTACTGAGCTCTTCTTTCCCATATGCTTTAGGGAAATTAGGAAAATAACTACTAAATTTTGTCACTTTTGCATCTTCTTCAAGCCTTCATCTGTAGAGAAAGTGTTTAGCTCACTTACTTTAAAGTATTAATGTAGGTGTTTTTTACTATTTTAGTTATGGTGTCACTGGGGCATTTTTCATCCAGAGTCTGTAAACACAGAAACACAGTTCTTGGGCATTTGCTGGCATAAACCCCAGAAATGGCCAACTTCCTCTGAAAAGTTACACAAACTCATTCTGTAAGTATGCAATATGTCTGAGGTCCTCAGGTTATATGGTAATGGATATTGTAGAAATAGGAAAGATACTCATTATCATTTCCCAGGGCAGTGTTTTGGATTAAATAGAAGTTAAAAATGCCCACCAGAAAGAAACTCTTCATTAGAAGTTCTTTATCTTTTGGAGATGAGCTGATTACAGTATGTATAACTGTTGATAAACTTCTCTTGATCCATGGCGAGTTGTAACTACTTTGGCCTAGTCACTAATTTCTGTTGTTGCTATTAATTTAGAAGGTTGGCCTAGTCACTAATTTCTGTTGTTGGTGTTAATTTAGAAGCTGTAAAGGCACAAAGATATGCTTACTAGTGTATCAGAATGGGAGGACTGTAATAATTGGAGCCAGATGCAACTTATTAAACCTTCCTTAGTAATAGGAGGCAAAGAGCTGTATCAGAATGGGAGGACTGTAATAATTTGAGCCAGATGCAACTTATTAAACGTTCCCTAGTAATAGGAGGCAAAGAGCCTGCCACATGGCTCTCCATAGTACTGTCCAGGGATGTGTTCTCTTCAAAAGACACCCTCCCATGTATAGGTTGACTGTGAAGTCAGTCTTGATCTATGCTAATACATCAGAGGGTAGAATTTAGCCCAAAATGTCTTAAAATAATTTTTCCATGCTTTTACATTAGTAAAACCTTGCTGTGGGGTAAGACATTGTCGTGATGCTTTTTACATTAGTAAAACCTTGCTGTGGGATAAGACATTGTCATGATACCTTTTCTGTGCTCCTTTTCCAGTGCTACTCTGAGCCAGGCTCAGGAAAAGCCTGGCTCTTTCTGCGAGATTCAACTGGTGACCAGTGAACAAGTGTGCCTAGTAACTTGCTTCCCTCACAGAAGTGGTGATGCCACCACTGCCAGCATGGCCATGGTGACTGCAGTGTGGCCGAGTCCCTCTCCCGTTCTGGGTATTAGCACAACTAAACTACAGCAACACTTAGGTCTCTTCACCCATCCCGTTGAAGATTTGCAGCAGGCAGGTGCAGGCAAGGTCTGTGGTAGGTTGACAGCCTGTAGGTCCACAGCCTGTGTTTTGCTTCAGTATCTACAACCTGAAAGCAGGAGACAGGTATTTCCCAGCTTACACATAAAAGGTAGCATCTAAACTGTGACCTACTATGCCAAACATTGTCCCAGAGCCAATTTGTAAATGCTTTGTATGTCAACTTTAGCTGGGAAGTTCCAGCCACTCTCACCATCATAATGTTATCTACCAAAAAGCCAGTGAAAATACAGCTTTGATGTGTTTCTTTTGGTGCTCAGATGCCATTGCATGTGAGGTATTATCATGAAAACCACATTATCACAGTAACTCAGGGCCTTTGGGCATCTGATATTGCCAATTGCCTTCACTTCTTGCTGGTATGTAATTTATCACTGGTGTGGCCTACCCTGCTAAAATGTGCCCTTTGTGGGCAGAGGCGAAGCTAATATACTTTCAAAGTGTATTTGAATTGCTTCCATAAATCACAGCTGTCACTGTGAGCAGTTTTATCACTTGCCAGAACAATATGCTATGTTCATGCTTTATAGTCTTGACACTATTCTGGACTTTTATTTGTGTAAATTGTAATGCATCATAACTTATTTTATCAAACAAATTTGAGTAGCCCAAATTTTTTATTATTTTATTTTTTCATAGAAACTTTGCCTGTAAAGAAGAGCATTTTAATGGGATATGTTTTATAGTTGTAATTACTGTTATGTAATTATTTTTTATTATTATTATTATTAATTGGTTCTAAGAATACTTGCAGTTTGTTTTCTGTTTGTTAATTTTCATTCTTCTAAGAAGTTCATGCAGCTGGGATAGCTTTGTTTGTAGCTCATTTCCTCTCTCGGTCTGCTGTGTAGCAGGAAGGGCAGCTACATGGTAATCCTGGGCCATGGAATTGGAGAGTGGGGAGGAGAAGCCTTCCCCACCTCATAGATATTATTTGATATCTGTGCAGGATATCCACCAGTCTAATTGTTTGTGTGGATTCAAAATAAAAAGTCTTGTCAAATCTGAAAAGCACTTGCAAACAAGACTTCCTACCTGAGACCTCTAGGATAGCATAGCATTGAAGTCATGAATAGTTAATTGTGCCTAAGGTGTAATTAGTCCTTTCATCTAAGAGTCCTTCCCCTGAATCATAGAAAGCAGCTGGGAGCATGGGCAGCACAAGTACTTAGAAATGTGATGTGGTGCCCTGGCTCAGGCATGGGCTGAGCAGGGGGACAGTTGTGTCTCAGTAACCAGGCCCAGTCACCTGGGCAAGGACCAGCTGCGTTCACACTGCCGGCCCACCCTGTCCCTGTCCCAGGCATGCTGAGTGGGGTTGTTCCCATCTGCCAGCTCAGCCTCCCAACCAAGCAGAGTCCTGGTAATGTCACTGAAAGCTCTACACAGACACAAGCTCATCCATCATATTTTTTTTTCTCATGCCACAGTGGTAGATCTGTTTATGAGTGTGACCTGTGAGAGTCAGAGGTTTGGGACTTCACTGCAACAAGAGACTCTCCTCATATCTTCTTTCCCAGGGAAGCTCTGCAATAAAATGTACAGTTTTCAGGACAGCCAGTAAAATGTCTCCTTTTTATGGCTATGCCTAAAATACCAGTGAATATTTATGAACCAATTAGCCATGGCTTCTCCTGCGATGAGAAAAAAAAAGTGCTTTTTTTTAATTAGTGCAATAGCTCATTCCAGAATATGAGAACAAGGTCTATAAAGTAGTCAGTTTTATAATTAGAAAATTATTTATTTGCGGCGGATATATTTGCTAAAATGTGAAGATTGTATTCATCTGTTTTTTAGTTTGATGAAGTTATGCTAATTGTTTAAAACTGAACAGTGTCTCTAATGTAAGGAAAAGTTTTTGGTGTAGATCAAATGCCTTGCCATGAGGAGTAGTCTAAAGGTATGACTTAGATTTGTCCTTTTACAGAACTTGTGTTTATTCTCAAGGTTTGCACTCAGAATGATCAGTAGTTGCTGCAGAACCTTCTGCAGATGTGTTTGCAGATCCTGTGATTTTCTCTTTTTAAAAATTTTAGCTATACAGACGTTTTCAGCAGATTGGCTACGTACATCAGCTACCACTTCAGAAATGCATGTTGTAAATTTTACATGAAGAGACATTTTTGGCAGCTGCTTTGTGGTTTGACTTTGAGCAGACCCAGAAAGGGTATATGAAATCAGCTATCCCTTCCAGACCACATCTGCAAGAAACAAGTATTGTAGCCTAAGGATGACTTGGATGATGGTACTGCATTAAATTCAGTGATTGCATGTAAGGGAACACATATATACTCCTTCTCACATACACAGATCATTTCATAGGATCAGAGGAGCTAAGGATGGAGGGCACTCGATTCTGTGAAAAAAACACTAAGAAACCTGCTCTTCCCACAGAAGATCTTTCCTACCTTAGCTGAGCCTGGGTTGCCTTTTAGCAAGCATTGCAAAGCCTTTGCAAACCCTTCCATTTAATTTGAAAATGTCAATTCATATTGGTTTGCTTACAAATCTTTGATTTGCAGAGACCTGTAGTTAAGGTTTTGCTCTGGCAAATGACTTCCTATACCCTTTTCCTCACTTTCTTGCCAGTATTGCAGACTTTGGGCTCTGGGAATATGGCCCTACCCTTGCAGGCACTAGCAGAAAATAACCCCAAACATCTCTTTTGGATCAAAGTAGGGTTCTTCATCCAACTAAAAATTTTGCAGAGCTCTGTGTGTAACTCTTAGTAAATCCAGCACTTAAAGGTCTCTTCATATTATAGATTATATTGAAGATCAGTTGGTTTTCCATTGACTTTATCAATTACACTGCTGAATGCGAGCCTTCAAAACCCTCTTTTAATTGACTTTATCAATTACACTGCTGAATTTCAAAATGACTTATGGAGATGCGAGCCTTCAAAACCCTCTTTTTTTTCAGATGAGAAAACTAATAAGCAGAAAGAAGAAGTAATGTGCTCAGAGTGTACTATGTCCCAGGCAAGCAAAAAGCTTTCAAAATTTATGATATATGCAAGGAAAAAGTTCTGCTGCTGGCTCTCAAACCTGCCTTGACTACACACCCAGGCTGATCTTCAGTATTTATGCTGAGTTGAAGACTTCATATGTTTATGGTCTTTATTGTGCATTTTCCATAGTTCTGAATGCTTAGCTGGCATCCATCACAAATTCAGACTTTGCAAATACTTTTACCCATGAAGACTGTAAGCACAGCTTTGCTGGTGTTGCAAATTATTAAGTATGCTGTGTGACAGCAAATGCTCTGTGGCAGCTCTGGCCCAGTGATTTCTGAGAGTAGACATCACCCTGGAGAGACCCACAGCAGACAAAACACAAATATTCAGAAGTCTTTCCTATGTTTAAATTCATGCTATAATTCAGGTTTTTTTGCTAATGAAAGTAAATTTTGCATCATTTACAGTTGCACAGTTGCAGAGGCTTTGAGGGGAGATAAAGGGATCAGGACTGATCCTATAGGTTTTGCAGAACAAGTCTGCATAAAATGTTTTTTGCTTGGCAGATGAGCCTTCTCAGGCTGTTGCACTGGTTGAGTTAACCAACATGTCCTTTTGCAGTGATAAGACTGGACTAGCTATAGCAAGCGTTTTCCAGCAAATGTGGTTGCACAGTTGCAGAGGCTTTGAGGGGAGATAAAGGGATCAGGACTGATCCTATAGGTTTTGCAGAACAAGTCTGCATAAAATGTTTTTTGCTTGGCAGATGAGCCTTCTCAGGCTGTTGCACTGGTTGAGTTAACCAACATGTCCTTTTGCAGTGATAAGACTGGACTAGCTATAGCAAGCGTTTTCCAGCAAATGTGGAGTGAAAGCATGTCCTTTTGCAGTGATAAGACTGGACGAGCTACAGCAAGCGTTTTCCAGCAAATGTGCTGTGCAGTGAAAGCTGGGGATGAGCAAGGCCATAGAGAGGGTTTTTTTTCATGTAGCTGAGTTAAACCATGCTCTGGCTGAACATTTTGACATCTGTTGACCACAGGGTTGATTTCAGGCTTTCACAAGCCTGCAGAAGGACTGTCACTAGCACGAGTGAGACAGGGACTGGAGAACTGATGTTTGCCTGTTTCCCAAGCACTGCTTTCAGCCTGTTTGTCCAACCTGGCAGAGACTTGGGAATCAATGCAAAAAAATAGACAGCATCTTCTGAAGCCAGCTTCATCCTCCTGGTCCCTTTTCTCTTTCTTCTGCTCTCTTTGGGCCAAGATTTCTTGGCACAGCTGTGCAGGAAATCTTGCTGCTTGCTGCTGAGTGTCACTTCTATTAATTTCTTTTGTGAATACACAAGGAATATATTACTCCAGTTGTTAATCCTCGTGTTTTCAAAAGTGACTCTAAACCCTTGTTAGAAAAGGCAAAGGTGAAAGTTTACGTCCATGGTGCATTCCCCCCCTGCCCTTTTTCAAAATATGTTCATATTAGTCTGCTCACCCAATGCAAGACTTGAAAATGCATTTGCCTGTGATGTGGAGATAGGCAGGATTTCCTGATTTACCTGCCTGATCTATAAAAAGAGTTTATAAAACTGTATGAGCAAGTTATTTTGCAGATTCCTTGGCCAATTAAAATTTAAAAAAACCTCCAAATTCCTGTGAAATGAGAGTCACACACCCAAGGAAAACCAAAAGATGAAGCCTATGGATAGTAAATAAATTTTAATTTTTTTTTTAGCTTTTGAAATTGCAACCAAAAGATGAAGCCTATGGATAGTAAATAAATTTATTTTTTTTTAGCTTTTGAAATTGATAGTGTTCTGTTTGGAATGTCAAAAGGGAACATTTTTACTTTTTCAGACATTTTTTGCTTTTACTCATTTATTCCCTTCTTTGCAAGACTGCATGTGTAGATTTCGCTGTTCACCTCCTTCCAACAAAAAGCTTTAGCTGGAAGATACTGAAGCCTATGGATAGTAAATAAATTTATTTTTTTTTAGCTTTTGAAATTGATAGTGTTCTGTTTGGAATGTCAAAAGGGAACAT